AAAAAATACTTCTATCGCCAGTGTAAATGCGTAATTATTTTTTTTACAGAAAAAGTAATTTTTCACCTTTGATTGAGTAACGCGTCATAGAATGCAGATACGGGCATGCAAAATACACTTGTGAAAAGCTTGAAGTCTGGCGACTCTAAAAATATATACTTTCCCGGGTCTATTTGTAGTCATTTAGTCACAATTAGAAGATGAAAACAAGTATGCAAATAATAGTCTCGCTACCTTAAACGATATACATTTTTCAGTCTATTTTTTTTTTTTTTGAGAGAGAGTTTTTAGATGTTGTGTTGAGGGCAGTTGCAGTGAAACGTATAGTTATAGTGTATGTATTCACACGTTTCTAATCGATCCGAAGGTGCGACATCAGTGGACGGAAGCCACTTTTTTTTTTGGAAAAACTGTCCTCATCCATGAAAAACAAAAAAATAGGTTTAAAGAGAAACGACGACAACGTAAACCTGAAGAGAGACGTCAGAAGAGAGAGAGACGTCCAGCAAATGAGTTGACTTTTTTTGCGATCCTGATTTACGTTTTATAGAGACCATTTAGTCCCTGTTAAGTAAAAGTAGCAATTATTTTGACAGTGACACGAAAATGAAGCGTCGGACAAACAGGAAATAACACAGCCCTTACACACTGCTAATTGTTTTCATTTTCGAAAGCTAAAAGTTTCTGAATTGTTTGGTGATTGGTGTTGAATGTCGAATTCACACCTCGGTTCTTTTTTTACCTCCATGCTTGCAGCTTGATCTGCGTAATAATTTATAAAAATAAGAATCCGTGCTTGGTCAATGTGTTTCCACCAAATAAAGTTTTAATATGATGTTATAATTATGACAATCACGCCATGGATCACGCTAACTCGAATCCACTCTGAATTTATCTGTATGTGTGTCGATCTTGATTATTTTTGTTATCCAAATAAACGCCGCTTTTAACGCACTTGCCCTCGTTGTGATCCGACGCGTTCACCTAATTCAACAAAATGTCAATTTATTTCCACACGGCTGTCATTTATTTAGTAACTGTGATTTGTCGTTTTTTTTAATTATTTTATAGTGATCACTATAGTCCAATGTTTAGAATGTCAAAATACGTTCTCTTTTATTTTAATTTTGAAAGTTTTACTCAGACGATCGAATAAAACAGTGTAGTGACGGGCCTATTAACCTGCTAAATAACGAGATAATTCCAACTTCAAATCCTATTTTGTCCAGCGACAGTGTACAAACGTGTGCCGGTGTTGGTGACGTTCACCAGCTACACCAGGACATATTTCGCATCTAACTCAACCCCATGCAACAAAAATTGATACTATGTGTTCATTATGGTCCATTCTTCCTCGATGAACAAGTACATAAGTGACAATTTAGTCAAAGACGAGAAAACTGTACAAGAAATTTGCCTTATTTACACGTATCGGCAATGCAAGCTGCCATGCGACTTCCCCTTCTGACGTCACAAGGGGAATTTCTGTATGCAAATGAGAAGCTAATGAGGAGCCTCGTTTTAAAATACACAAAAATAAAGTTGCCGTAGACTGAGTTTAAAACACATTTTTTCACTTATAATAATTCATGCTTAGAAACATAAAAATTAATAAAATTTATGTATCAATGGATAATTTTAGGCGTAAAAATAGCAGCCATTTCACAGACACTTTAATATGTTTATGAACTGTTTACAGATCCAATGAATTATCCTGACCTCAGGATAACACTATAATAATAATAATAATAATAACTTTATTGCATCCTTAGAATTACAAATGTTCTATTGGTTTACAGCAATAAATATATAAGTGATTAAAAAAAATCAAAGTACGATAACGTAAAAAATAGAAAAAAAGAGTCAAGGTATTATATCCAAAAAAAGCTCATTTCTTAAAATAAATGATTTATGCAAAAATTCCCCTAAAAGTTTTATTATATTTCTGTCATTACTTTTCATTAAATATGTGAATTTTTGCAGGTTGGTAATGATTTCTTTGGGGAATAAAATATTGGAAATAAAATCATTTCTATCTGTTTGATATCGTGGGCAAACTAAAAGAAAGTGTAATTCGTCTTCGATCTCCTGTAATGGGCATTGTTTACAAATTCTATTTTCTAATGGGGTTTTTGGATTGGTATGTCTGCCTTTTTCAATGGCTAGATTGTGACTACTTGTCCTGAATCTAGCCATTGATATTCTTTGATTATTATCCAAAACATTAATGTAATTTTCCAGATTGTAATTAATTTTAAATTTAATGTATGTTCTCAGTTTTGTTTTTTCATTTGTCATATTCTCTCTCCAGTATGTTATGTATTGTTGTTTAATAGTGCTGCTAATTTCCTTAATATTTTGATGTGATAGCTGTGA